AATTCAACTAAACTGAGACCATTTAAAGGCTCAGGAACCCTTTGCAAGTGTTTTCTATTTGCTATTATACTTTTTAGTTGATTGGGGTCTTGTTTTATACAACACCGTGATATATGAATGATTCAAAAGCTTTTTTTTTATTAACACATTGAGTCCATCCATCCATTCTCTTCCAATTATCTGTAAGAGATCCGCTTCATTATTTTCAATTTTTAATTAATTTTGGGCCAATTTTCCTGAATAAGTAAACTGCGATTAATCAAGATCAACTAATTGCAAAGTCTCTAACTAGAATAATTTTTAATCCAGTCCCGCCCCTAATAAAAACAAATAAATAAATGCATATATCATAGTAAATTAAAACCTAAAATAAAATTAAAACTAAAACCTAAGAGTGAACTTAGATGTCTTTCTTTAATGCTTTGCCGAAGTGTGAGATCGGGACTTTGTATCCGCAGATTTTCAAAATCAATGATTCAGCTCAGGAGGAAAAAGCTGTGATCAGAACATCCCTCACTGGAGAATCATTATTGTTTTTGTATTATATTAAACTAACTTTATCTAACATTAATTTATATTTTTCTTCGCATCTGTGACAAAATCAAAGCAGGACAGTACAGAAGGTCTGTGGCTTTTCACCTTTGGGGGACGGCGCAGATGTCTCCGACAGCTGGTTGGGTTTCCTGGTGCATGAAGATGGGGACCGTCTGAAGCTCCTCTCTCAGAGGGCTGGATCCAAATCCAGAATCCAGCAGATTGGTGGGACTATGAGGAACAGCAGAGATCAGCTGAGCCTCTCCGTTTGAAGATGGCAGTCCCTGTGAGGAGAGTAAAACTCATCACTTCTCATGCTCCCACTGAACATCATGTTTTTACTTAATGCAGCAAGATCATCAAGAGGAAACCAGAATCTGGGTAGAAATGACCAGAAGCAGTTTTAGATTCAACGAACACAGTGAGCATTAGAGCTGTTTCCCTCCAGAAGCTTGCAGATGTGTTTGCTTCAGCTCCTACCTTTTGTGCTCCAATTCCTCTAAAAACCTGTTTCTTCCTTTCACCAATCTCTGGATTCTGTGATTTTGTTGGACCTTTGTTTATTGTTGGGATTCTTTGACTTCTTGGACCTTTATCTGAATACAAATCTTTTGGATCCGACAGAGTCAGCTCAGCTAAAGTGTAAGCAACCGTGAAGCTATCTTGAATGTCTGTCCTCCCGGTCCTTCTGCCCCACAATGATACCTTTATGCTTTCTAAAGCAAGTAAAAGGATTGAAAACCTTAAAGAGGACATACGACGACTCTCTGCTGAACTGCAAAAGAAGGAAATGCTGCTGGATAGTTTTAGATCTCGTATCCCTGGACTGTCTGGAGACCATCGTCAGTCAATGTGAAGATAAAACATCTGTGCAGAACTCTGCTCCTGACCAATTTTCATCTTGGTCAGAGGTTGTTGTACGTGGCTGTAGGAGAGCCCCTGTGGTTGATCCCGCCCACCCATGATCTAGGGGGCGCCGTGACCAACTACAGAAAAATCCCAGTGAGGTCAGCTTTGGTTGACAAAGATGGTTTTCTGTTAATTTGCCATCAATCAGACGTTGTTTGTGTTATCTAGAGCCAGAGAGCTGAAAGGGGGTGGAGCCAACAACCACATCAATGTGTTTGGTACAGTCACGTGATGACACAAGCCAAGTTTAATGCCATTCTAACTTTGTATTAGGAAGTAATTCACTTTTAATCTTATCTAGGGGGCGCTGTGACCAATTACATAAAAATCCCATTGAGATCTTCTGAGGGAGTCAAAGATGGTTTTGTGGTAATTTGGCATCAATCAGATGTTGCGTGTGTTTTCTTGAGCCAGAGAGCTGAAAGGGGGCGGAGCTAAAGGGATTTAAACCAACAGCCACATCAATGTGTTTGGTGCAGTCACTTGATGTCACAAGCCAAGTAAAATGCCATTCTGACCTTGTCTTTAGAAGTTAATAAAGTTTGAACCCATCTAGGGGGCGCTGTGACCATTTACAACTAAATCCCATAGAGGTCATCTTTGATCATCAAAGACAGTTTTCTGTTATTTTGGCATCAACCAAACGTTGCATGGGTGATCTAGAGCCAAAAGGCTGTAAGTGGGCGGAGTTTAAGTGATTTGAAGGAGTGAGTACCTACATGTGTTGATTGCAGTTGTGTGATGACTCCCACCAAGTTTGATATAGTTTGGAGCATTTTGTAGAAGTTATAAAAGTTTTATTGTATCTAGGGGCACTGTCCCAAATTTAGGAAAATATCCCCTGGAGCAGTTTGTAGGTAGACAATAGGGTTGGGGGTAAACGATTATTTTTAAAACGATTATTCTGACGATTATTTTATCGAATAGTCGACTATTCTAATGACTATTTAGAAAATTAATCTAATGATTATTTTTCTATTGCACAATTAACAAAAACCAGAAAATCTCAAATAAATTCCTCAAAAAAAAAGATAAATTGTTACTGTAAGAGAATAAACACTACGGGCCTTCCATTTTGTATAACACTGCTTTTATTGTGTTGGTTGGTTATGTTCTGGTGACGTGTAGAACTTGGGAGTGCAGGCTGCTGCCTGAGAGGTGGTTGGAGACGGAGTGTCTCCATGCTGCTTTGTTTTGGTCACTTATGAGCGTGAGGCGAGTGGTCTTACGACCCTTCCTGGGGAGTTTGGCTCGTGTGTAAAAAGGAAGGGACAATAACGGGATTTAAAAGTTAAAATGATGATCAGGTTTATTTACAACTACAAAAAATCATAAATCTTTCCATCCACAGGTTGAGAATAATAAAACTAATTCTGCCTGTGGGGAATTAAAACAAAAGTACAAATAAGTAGGGATCCAAACTCTAAACTGGGCGGTTAAACCAAACTCAGGTGATATTTTAAACTAAACAGAAAACCCACAACACTCTAAATGTAATAAAAGGGAGATCTACACCACAAAAAAGATGAACTCTAAACCAAAACATAACAGCTTATCCCAACGCCAGAAGCTGTTAGCGAAGATGCTAACAGTAGCTTTACCAACGTTAAGTTCAAGTTACCAAGTTTAAATAAACCAAAAACACCCAGCAGCAAACAGACCAGCACGGAGGAGAGACTGCTACCACCAAAACAGCTCTCCTCATGACTGAAAGAAGCTCCTTAATGAAGGGAGAAACGCTCCCGGTGATTTTCTACATCTGCGGTAGAGACGAAGCAGCGCATCTGACCCCGGAAGTTGTTGTCCGTTGCCGGGAGACGAAGGCGGGCAAAACAGGAAGATAATCTAGTAGTGGACGGACGTTGTTCCGGGTCTTCGGTATTTGGCGGAGATGTTAGTGAAGGCGAAGAAGAGGGCGAACTAGAGGAAAAACAGGCAGATTCCTCCTCTATTTACAAACCCCTGGGGATGCAACAAGTGGGCGCGGTGCGACGACTTCCGGATCTGACGTCGACGAATTTTTAGAATCGAGCCGTCGACGTCGTCGAGGCTTCGCTACAGCCCTAGTAGACAACAATCATTTGCATGTAGTTTGGTGTGAATTGCATCATGCATGTGTTATTCACAGGCTAATATCTGTCAGGGGGTGGAGCTAAAGCGATATCAACCAATGACCACAGGATTGTGTTGGGTGCCTTTGTGCGATGACATACAGCAAGTTTGATGCAGTTGTGACCTCATCTGTGGGAGTTATTACAGTTTCAAAGGTATGTAGGGGGCGCTGTGGTGATAGACAATGTTCAAGAAACCGTTTGTGCCTCATTGGCTAAAGGGCAGGATTGTTGATTGCCATGTTCAGTCTCGTGCAGGTTGGAGGCTAATTGTGAAAGTTACAGTCAAACGTAAGCACACGGCGTCACGCCAGAATTCGCCATGGCATCAAAGCCCCTCCCTTCCTGGAAAGCTATCAGATCTGAATGGTCATTACAGCATCATGAAGAAAGTGCATGACCTTAGTGTCATGTTGACTAAATTAGAGGGGACAAATATGGGCATTTCAGCATAAAACAATAGACTTCCTGTTGTCAGGGGGCGTGACTTCGGTGATGTCAGCAGTCCACATTGTCATTGTCTTGAGATGTGGTCAGTGATCACACAGACACAGTTTGATATAGATCTGATCATGCACATGGGAGTTATTACGTCAAGGAATGTAATGGCGAAAGGTCAAAGTTTGAGGCTAAGCCACGCCCACACCTTTCAACTTTTGAAAAATCCGACGGTTGAATTTTTTCCTCTATGTCTTAAGAGTATATAGCAGAAGTTTGAAGGTGATCAGTGAAAAGGGTGACGGCGCGTCATTCTCCAAACTTGTGTGAAAACCACTAAACTGAGTTGGACCAAAATGGCCGACCTCCTGTAAGACTTTGCGCTTGGCTCCAAGACACTTTTTGTAGGTCCTGAGACACCACATTAGTGTACCAAACTTCGTAATTCTCAGTCAAAGCATGGCTTGGAGCCGACAGTTTTAATGGTCCTAGGGGGCACTATTTAAGAAAATAGGCCACGCCCACCATAATGACTTTGTCTAGTTCACGGCTCGTTAATAAAAAGTCCCATTCGTGTCTGAGCAGAACCTCCCTGAACCGTCTACAGGTGGTTCAGAACACCTGTGCTCAGCTTCTGACCAAGTCCTCCAAACACACCCACATCACCCCGCTTCTCCTCCAGCTTCACTGGCTGCCAGTCAACTTCAGGGTTCATTTCAACATCCTGGTTCTGGTCTATAGGGCCTTACATGGACAAGCACCATCTTACATTGGTGATCTTCTTAGTCCCTACACCCCCAGCAGGTCCCTGAGGTCCAGTGATCAAAGCCTACTGGTTGTGCAGCACCAGGCTAAAGGTCAAAGGTGACAGATCATCTGCTGCTGTGGCCCCCAGACTCTGGAACTCTCTACCCCTGAGCCTGAGATCAGTGGACTCAGTGGTCTCCTTTAAAAAGCAGCTGAAGACTCACCTGTTCACGCTGGCTTTTGTATGACCTTCTTCACCTCTCTCTCTTTATTCTGCTCTCCCCACCTATTCCACCTTCCTCAGGATCCACCGATTTCCCTCTTTCCTATTCACTCTCTCTCTTTCTTAACATTTTTTTAATCACAATTGCCTATTTTTGCTCATTTTAAATATATTTTGAAACACTTTCTAAATGCTTTTTTATATTTTTACATTTTTTGTTTTTCTGAAGCGCCTCGTGATTTTTATCTTGAGAGGCGCTGTAGAAATGATATTTTCTTCTTCTGCATTCATCTCGTCATGTTTTAGTCACCGAAGAGCTATTTTTAGCTCGTCAGTGTCTCGTTTTCATTATGAAAAAAGGGGCGTCAACGAAAACAATTCGTCATCGTTTTTGTTAACAAAAACAACACTGCGTAGGACTTGAAGCTACCTGTGTATTCTTGCATGGCTCCTGGAGCGACTCCTCCTGAACTGTGGTGCTGCTGCTCAGAGGTTTAACAGCAGCAACAGCAGAGGGCTCTGCCCTTCTCATCTTCTGGCCTGGCTTCACCTGGACCGCTGGCTTCATCACAGACGGCTTCACGTTCAGTTTGGGCCTCACTGCAACAAAGGAACAGAGATTAGGCATTTAGAGGAGTCCCTACAAACATGGCTTTACAATAAGGGTCCCTTTATTGACTTAATTCCAAGATGGCACCAGCAAGGCAGTCAAGTCTCCACTTGTGACAATATTTTTGTTTGTGACGTTGCTCTGTGTTGACACAAACCCACCCTTGATCGATGATCGACACACTCTTCTACAAATCCGATTGACTATGAGCATATCACTGTTTGCTCACGAATGTAGTGATTCAACTTGCTCATTTCTGACTGACCAGCGTTTTTGACACGGCATACTTTTGAGCCTGGAGATGAACAAAGTCATCCATACGTGTAGAAAGAGATCATTCCATATCCATCACTGTGCCTCTGATGAGAGGTCTGTTTTCAATGCCTCCATGTCAGCCGTGGCATATATGAGTCTCCATGTCCAGCACACGGGGGACTTCCAGTTTGGCGTGGGCCGATATTTAGCATTTTTTCATCATCACCCGATAAGCATCTTTAGTAGAGCCGATTTAAAGTCAGGCACTTCCACGGGCAGCCCGCTGCTGCTGGAAGCCGGTTAAGGACCCCGATCCAAAACACTGAGACTAATTTACCTCGGAGTAAAAGGTAAAGCTTCTCTTCGGTGTTTCAAACCCTACAGCTGTGTGTTTAGTGTGAATTAAAGTAAATATGAAAAAAATTAAAATAAAATAAATAACCTCAGCTGAGTGAAAGAAAAATCGAGCCGTAAGAACCGCCGCTAACCGGCAATATGATGTTAATGCTAGGCTAGCTTGTTGTTAGCTTTAGAGACCATCTGAAACTCTCAGCTGCGGTTAGCTTAACATGTTAGCTCCAGTTTTATGGATGACATTATTTTCCTGTGTGGGAGCCGGAGAACTTCACTCTGTGTGTTAGAGAGGAGAGTCCTGCAAAGTCTGCACCCCCTACTGGTGGGAGGAGCTGAAGAACGCCACACGCTTCTCCAGTTCTTACGTGGATGACACGGTGAACAGAAACACAGAAAAAGATCTGTATATAAATACAGCTCGTTTTTCTGTTTAGCGTGTAATCTGTGGTCAGAAACAGCAGAGACGTGTTCTGTCCAAAGACTAGTTTTAATTTGTAGGTAAAATCTAACATCAGCAGTCAGTAACACTAGTGAATAGTCAGGGTTATTAATAGATGAGTGTTTCTCCAATATTTCTCATATAGACTGTAAAGTGATGAGTTCTCCTCTGCTCTTTCTGCTACAGACTCAACTGAAGACGGATGCTCTACACAAACACTAACAACTGTTTCTCCTGTTTAGTTTTTGTCTGAAAGCTCAACTAAAGTCACATCCAGCATGGCAGCGCGTCATGGAGCCAAACCAAGGAAAGGAGGTGTGATATCAGCAGGAGGCCGGTGAGCTGGGAGCTGAAGAAGGTAAAAACACAACCTGAAGGTTCCCCGTCTCCAGGCTAACACAGAAGCTGCTGCTGAGTCAAGAGCACTAAGGTTAGTTAATACTGAAGCTGTTTTACATGAAGATGTTAAGAAATAGTCAAAAAGGCTGGATGAACTTTAGATGTTGCGGTTGGGTTTTATACATCATTACATCACTGTAGGATCAGTCTTTCTATTCTAAAGGTGCATTTATTCATATGTAACACACGGAATGAGGACGTTTATTCCGGTGCCATTAGGGTTTATTTTCATCTGTAACACAGAGCAGAGCTTTAAGTGAGCAGCAGGTCACTGTTGTGCACCTCGTGGCTGAGCTTCTACCCGGTAGCCTACTTCTTCTGCTACCCTTGGAACTAAAGCTAAACTCTAATACACATTTATGTAGGGCTGCAGCTATCGAATATTTTTGTAATGGAGTACTCTTATCGAATCTTTTTTCGATTAATCGAGTACTCTAATAAATGACCCTTTTGTGTTTGTAAACCATTATATCAAATAGCATGTTATAAAATATGAAAGACCTCTTAAAATGAGCAAGCAATTGCCAGTTATTCATCAAGTTTTAATCAAAATTAGTTTTCAAAACTTCAGCACTTCAACTTTACTTCGCAGTAAAAAAAATTCCTGTGCAAAAAGTAAGTATACAACCTGGGCCCTTTTCCCCTCGTGCGAGAATCTGCTAGACCGGCACGCCAGGCAAAAACTAGGAGGATAACTGTTGAAGTAGCGCTGCGAGCGGCTGCGGCCCATAAAGAACCAGGACCCCTCACGGTTTAATCCGTTTTAATTTCAAAACTTTTTTTCTCACACAATAGCAAGGATTGTCGAAAGCATGTTTGCTGTGGTTTTGTCAAATTATACTGATCACAAAACATTGATTTACTTTCTTTCATTTTCCTCCACCACTCATAAATACCCGCGTCCTCCCGCAGCGATCCCGAGGGACAACAAATATCAATAACAACACAATAAAAAGTCTGACATGTTGTGTAAAAACTGCTATTTTTTTAGCACATTTTAAGTCCGACGTGTTGCTAGCAGACGCACAGTGTGAGCTGAAACTGAGCGCTACAAATGAAAAAGTGGCACAGTGTCCGCAGAATATATAGAAATACAGGCTAAAATGCATTATCTTGTAGAGGCTCCGAGTCCGCTTGCAGAAGTGACATTTACACGTGGCTGTTTCCTGGTCAGGTGCTGCAGCATCGAGGAATGTGTTGTTGTGGTAGGCTAAATCCATTTTACAGCATTTACACTGGAGTACGTTTTCTGCCTTACGACGTGAAAAATGGTCCCACACTTTTGACATTTTCTGTCTTTTTCGCACTCCACCGGGGTCCACGTTGTCCGCCATGGCTTAAGTTACATTCGCTACTCGCGTGTGCATTCAGTGCAGAGTGTATGTGCGTCACTTATTTTAGTCCAGGTGAAACATGACCCCGGGCGATTGCAAAGCCATGAATTAATTAAACATGAATTAAACAAATCATCGAGGCAGAGAATTTGACTCTAGGTTTTTTTGTACTCGAATTATTCGAGGTACTCGAGGAATCGTTTCTGCCCTACATTTATACATACAACAGTTTGCAAAACACATAGAAAGTTAACAATGGGACACTCAAAGATCTCAAATATAAAGCCAAACACTGTTTTAAAGTGCCATTTTGGTACCAATCAATCAATCCATCAATCCTTTATTAATCCCGGAGGGAAATTAGAGTTTCAGTACACACAATTCAAACATCATATTCTGTCCTTAACAATAAACAATATCGATCACAGAACCACGCCATAACATACGGAAGTGACATCACCGTCCTACTACCCCGAGCGGCGGCCACCTATTGGTGCAAATAAGTATTGGCCAAATTTTGTGTCTAAAAACAGGTGAGGTTTGAAAGAGTAACAAACAGGTTCATATATATAAGATTGGATGAGAGAACTAATTAACTATTCAATTCAATCACTTTATTAAAGACAGAATAAGGTCCAAAACAGATAATAAAAACAGAAATAAGTAAAATAGGTAAAAATACGTGCAAGCTTTTTTAGGCTCACATAAAGTTTAAGATGCCAATAATTCCACGTTAGAATAAAACATGACAGAACTCCGTGTGGGGTTTGTCAGGGACAGGATTATACTGTTCTTAAGAGTCCCTTAATCTACACATACAACTGTACATGAGATTCCGTCTCACTGCAGGACTTGTAGGTACACCCACACTAGCAAACATTGTGCTTGCACTGCACCGCACCATCTTGGCATTCTACGCATTGTCCTTAACCCATCATTATACGCAACAGTGAGTTTCCTCATGCTGCTTTGCTTACAACTAGGGCTGCACAATATATCAAAAAATTATCGTCATCGCGATAACAGGACGTGCGATAGACTCATCGCAAAGCACGTCAAAAACGGCGATAAATGTTTGGTTCAAACATTTCCATCCGTGTCATACATCAGCTTTTTGTAAACCAGCTGTTTTTTACGCGGAAGTGTTATTTGATCAGTCAAATGTAGCCAGGGTCCGAAATTAACACTACATTAAATGGAGCACCATTTGGCGAGTAAATTTTTGAGCTCTACCTGCCACATAGAGAGTAAATGTTTGCACCAAATTAGTTATGTTTATCAGTCATCTTCCACGGATTTCTGATACTCCTCCCGCCTGCATGCAACGTACACAAACGTACGCGAAACGTGAACGCCGCATCCAACGTCATTTCCACCTATCCCATTCAATCAGTTTATCAAGTTAGCCGTTAGCTTCGTGTTAAAACTAGCGGTGAAATGTGGCGGTTTTTAACTGGAGTCAGCCAGCCTTCCAAAAGAAAACTCGTCGAACTGGAAGAAAAACCACCAGGACCAGTGGCAACCAGAAGATTTTGTGAAAAGTGGCGAACTGGAGATGGCGGAGTCGTGAGACAATGGCTACATTATGATGGCCACGTAGCGTTGCTGCCTTTCACAGACAACTGTCCCTCGGCATTCTTCAAATATCCAAAAAATGCCCGTACTTCCGACTTTGTCTTCTTTGAGGGATAATAAATGTCCCAAGTGCTGCCGTCTCCTCCTGCCATTATTTCAGCTTTAGCTTAAAGAAAGTTTTGGTCGTAAACAAAGTGCGCATGTGCCGCCGGCAACTTCAAACAGATGATACGGTGGCTGGTAAGGGTCACCGCGCCTACACCGCAGCCACGGTAATCCACCGAGAAAATTTTTTTTAAACAAGACTGTTATTATTATTGTCAACTTTTTTTTTTGACCGGGGTTGACTGCTACACCGGTTACCGTGACAACCCTAGCCCTGACACACTTTCAGATATTCTCATGGTGCAGCTGTGTTCTCCAGAGATCAAGGACTAGGACCCAAATGAGGCTGTAATGCTTTGGCACAAAGATGGTGTCAGAAGCAGGAGGCCAGATTTCATGGACAGAGAAAACAAGGAGTCTGACTAGATTTCAATGAAAGAGTTCATAAAAACATCTCTAAAAATAAATAAATAAATAGTAAAAATGACAAAAGAGTTGTTTTCCTTATTAATTGATGTTTTAATTATTT